TCGCCGCCCGACGTGTTCGCCGGCTTCGCGCCCCACCCCGCGGCCCTGGGCCCTCCGACGCTGCTGGCCGAGCAGATGAGCGTGATCGGCAGCCGCAAAAAGAGTGTGAACATGACCGAGTGCGTGCCCGTGCCCAGCTCCGAGCACGTCGCCGAGATCGTGGGTCGCCAGGGTGAGTGGCCGCCGTCTGGGGCGCTACTCCCGGGGTCCCCGCGTCGCGCGCCCTGGGGAGGGGGCCGCCCCAGCCCAGCTCGAGGCCGGACGCCAGATGCTGGCCACGCCCCGCGTGGGCCCCGGCCTCGGTGGCCGCCTGTGCGCCTTTGTCCTGCCGCGGGCCGCGCGAGAAAGTTGGGCGCAGCCCGCGCTCCTCCCCTCCACGCTCAGGCCCGCCGCTGCCTTTGTCTGGGCGCCTCCAGCCGGGTCAAGCCCCTCTGTGCGGCGCCTCTGCCCAGGCCCTGGGCCACCTGCTTTGGCATCCCGAGAACCAGGGGGCAGGGCTGGGCGGTGGGCGATCGACACCCGAAGCAGGCACGGGGCGGGGCTCGCTGAGGCTTGGGGGTGGCTCGGGGGCGGGGCAGGGGGGCTCAGGCAGGGTCAAGAGAGAAGTTTGGCGTACAAAGAGGGTGCATATCTCCACTTGTCAGCCTGGGGGCCCTACTGGGGGTGGGGGGAGCACAGGATGAGAGAGGATCCCCACCCCGCTCTCAGCCCCGAGTCGGGGATTTGGGGACATGCTTAAGGACCAGCTGTAAAAGCCCTCCTGAGGTCCAAGCTCCTAGCCTCCCCCCAGCAGGCCCGGGCTGTGGGGGTCCGGCAGCAGCTTTGTCAGAGTCCCTGTGGCCGCCCCATTGTTCTCTTTGTTAGAGAGCCAGTCTGAGATTTGCAGGGTGACATCAGGCCGGCCGCAGCTCATTGGCCCTGGAGCTGGAGCTGCAGGGCGGGCAGGCAGGAGGGTGGTGGGCAGTGCTCCTCCGGACACACGCCCACCTACCCTTTTAGCCAGCTGCCCCCAGGCCCAACTTTCCCCTGCCTTCTGCCTGCCCCTCCCTGTTCTCCACTCCCTGCTTGAGGCCAGGTTCTAGAACTTGGGGTGGGGTCTGGGCGGGGCTTGAGGTGGAGCTGCAGGACACTCAGGCTGGCCTTTGGGGACTCAGTAACAGGAGCCAGAGATGGGGGGGGGGGCTTGAACTGCAAGGTGACTTGTCATCTTTGCCACCTTGCGGCCGGGGGGGTGTGCGGAGGACCACAGGGATGCTCCAGACACTGCCCTCAGAGTTTTGGGCAGGAGGGGTGGTTTGGCCAGTGAGTCCTCTGGCTTTGGGTGCAGGTGCAGCCGATCATGTCCTCCTCCCCCCATCTGGACACCGGGAGGGCCAGGTGTAGTGCTGGGCTGAGGGCCCAGGAGTTGGGACCAGGGGAGGGGGGACAGGTGGTCCTCTGAGCCCTGTCTGCTGCCTCCCACGAGCAGGCACAGCAGGACTCCAGGCCTGACCGGTCTCCTCCACCTGCCACAGCCCCTTACCTGCCCCAGTCGCCTGCACCTGCATTGGGACGTATAACAGGACCGCTGCTGTGTGCGTAGCGTGCAGACGCTGGCCCAGGGCAGGGGGACAGCCGTGGAAAGGCAGCCTGGGGGCTGTTGTCCAGAGGCACTAGGCTGATCTGCCGGCTGGCGGAGTGCGGAGCAGGAGGGCGTGTTCCTGTGCGTATTCTGACAGCCGCGGGTCCTTCAGAGAGGCTGAGTCCAGCCCACTGGTGGCAGGAGCCAAGCAGAGGGTGTCTGGTTGTGGAGGAGCGGGCTTGGGGGGGTCAGCCCCCACCCCGACCTCCTGGGGGTGCTTTTTTGGCACCCATTTATTGGGTGCCAGCCTGGGGTCTTGCTGGTGGTAGAAAGGAAGGCAGGCTGTGGGGGGTGCAGACGGGGCTGGCCCTGTGACCCTGGGCAAATGAGATCTCCTCTCTGTGATGGGGGCACAGCACCTCCCTCGGGCGCTTTTGTGAGGATTCTCCAGCAAGAGGGATCTAATCCCAGCCCCGGGCTGGTGCACAGTAGCACCCTGTAAGTGGGTGCGGGGTCCTGGGGAGGGAAGCATGAACGCCAGGACAGGTTGGCCCTTTTGGCAGCCCTTGACTCTCTCAGCTCTAGGACCATCTGTGGCGCCCATCTTCTCCCACCCAGGTGTTAAGCTCAGCCTGGAAAACTCTTTGTGCCCCAATCCTGACCCCTCCCTTCCTCCGGTCACTCGTCCAGTCTCCCACCTTGGGGGTTCCTGGACATCAAGCCTGTCCCTTCTAAGCGTCCTGGCTCTCACCGGGGCAGAAGGCACAGCTTGTTGTGAACTCCTCTGTCAAACCCTAACTCCAGGGCCACTCCATCCCCTAGAGGGCAGGCCAGAGTCCCCCAGACCTGGGGTCTACCCTTTCCCTGATGCTTGCTCGCTCGCTGTTCTCTGAGCTGGTTTTTCCATCCTCGAATGGGTCCCTACACCGCCTGGGCACAGGATAGGTGATTACAACCTCTGGGAGTTCTCTCTCCTCCCTGAGGCTGAGTGGCGGGGAAGGTGCCCTGCATGGGAGCCTCAGAAGATCCCTCAGGGAAGGTCGTCTGTAGCTTCTGGTCACAGGAGGCAGGGACATGGCCAGAACTGGGTCGGCAGGGCTGGGGTTTGAACCTCAGTCCCTCTGGCTCTGTGTGCGCTGCAGGGAACAGAGGTGGCTCAGGAGAGGACTTCCTACCTTCCAAAGCTCCAGGATTGGGGAGTCGGCCCCACTTTACAGACAGGAAAAGTGGAGACTCCGAAAAGTGTCCGCCAAGGTCACCTGGGAGGCTGGTGCCCACTTGCCCTGGGTGTGACCTTGGGCCCAGTCCTCCTGAGTCTCCCGTTAGCGTGCACCCTTGCTGGGGGTGTCTGTGTGGGGCTGGGCGGGGTCGTGAGCACCTGCCTGCTGCCTGGAGGTCTGGGTCAGGAGCAAGTGAGTGAAGGATGGCGGTGGTGGGCCTGTGCTGGCAGGCACCTGGGGTCCCTCTGTCTCTGCTGCTCTCAGGGGAGGGCCGGTGCGCTCGGACTGGCCCCCCCTCAGCTGGGGGAAGCCTGCTGCGCTCACGGCTCTCCCTCGCTGACCCTGTGCCTGGCCCCCCTCCTGCGGGCCTTGGGTGCCTTTTCGGGCAGCTGGGGAACACCACAGGGCCACCAGCAGGGTCCAGGCCCTGGTGTTCCTATTTAGCCACTGTGAGTCTGGGTTGGGGGGTCCCTTATGTTGGCAAGCATAGACCTTCCCTGTGTCTGTGGGGGGGTCTCCGTGCCCACAGGCCCGCCCTGCTGTGATGTGGCCCAGCCAGGACTGCAGCCCAGTTTGGCCCCGCTTTGGGGACAGCACCCCACTGGGTTTGGGGCAGTGGTTATTGTGAGGATTTGTCCCAGCCCTGTCCTGCATCCAGATCTCTGTGCCCTCAGCTAGGAGCCCTCTCCTGGCATGCATCCTTCCAAGGGTGAGCCCTTCTGCTCCCCCTCATGGCTTTGAGGTTTTGTTGATAAGTGTAGCCCGTGGTTACTGTGTGGGGTTCCTGGGGGCAGTGCCTGGAGCTCCCGAGTTCCTGAGTGCCCAGCACACGGGGGTCAGGACCCCAGAATGAAGTCATATGAGTGATGGGACCAGGCTCCACATGGGGACCCAAGGCACCCCCATTTGAGGGGAGGGTCCAGCTGCAGAGAGGAGGGAGTTGACCAAATGGGGGGTAGTCAGCCCCATTCCCAGGCACACCTGCTTGAGTTGGAGTCCTGGTGGCCAGGCCCAGGGGTCTGCCTTTCAGCCTGTCGCCAGCGATAAGTGGTAATCTCAGGGTTCCCCGCAAGCATGGGGCTTGACCCCTGACCTCACCCACTGTTGCGTCTCTGGCTCATCCCCACCAGGGCAGGTGTGTGGCCCGGTTCACTCTCACCACCCCCATTTCCCGGACCTGCAGTCCCACCCCCTCTCAAACTCCGCCACTTCCTAGGGTCGGGGTATGGGTGGGGCTCGGGTCGATGGGCATCACAGCCAAAATGCAGTCAGTGAATTAGTCTCCTCTGGGCCCTGGAAGGCTCCACCCAGGGCCACCCTGCGGGAGGGGGCAGGACGGGGGCCAGTTCCATGTGACTGGGAACAAGGGTGCACCCCTGGGTTTCATCCCCCGCCCTTTCTCCTGGCCTTGGCTCCCTGTCCCCCACATGGACCTGCGGGGAGCGAACACTTCAGGTGAGGTGAGGGTCCCCCGCCAATTGCCTTCGAGGGTCATGACGGCAGCGCACCTGCCTGGGGTGCCGGGTCTGGGCCCTTCTCTTCCTGGGGAGGAAACAGAGGTGCAGGACAGGGCTTCGAGTGGCCAGGTCATCCCAGCACACTGGCCCTTTCTTACAGCCCTCCGGCCTCGGGGAGTTAGGGAAGTCACACAGGAGGAACTGAGAAGCGTGTGCAGGGGCCCCAGGCTAGTCCACATGGGCTTCCTGGAAGAAGGGGCGCTGGGCTGTAACTTGATGCAGAGAAGGGGTGCAGGCACGGTTGCAGATGGGAAAGGTCGTGGGGGGGGGGCAGTGAGGTCAGGGCAGGGGAGCTGCAGGAGAGGGAAGGACTGACTTGTGACTTGAAAGCTTTCCCACCAGCTGCCAAGTGGGGAGGGAGCCAACCCGGCAGAAGGGGAGGCAGCTCCGGGTCAGGGTGGGTTTGGGGGGGTGCCCAGTGAGACGACGCTGCCACCCACAGGGAGGACACCGGGTGGGCGGGGGGCGGGGGCAGCGGCTCAGGGCCCAGGAGATGCAATGGAAGCCGCCGTGCCCCACGCTCCACCCTCCCTGGGGCTTTCTGACCTCAGTTCGCGAGCTCGGCTCTGCTTTTGCTCAAAGCCCTGGATGGGGCTGCTGTCCTTGGGGTCAGGGTGAGGCTGCCCCCGACGCCCCCTCCTGTCTCCCAGTGCTCCCTCCCGCCTAGCAGCCGAGCTGGTCCAGCTAACTTTGTATCTTCTGCTCCGGGAGAAGTTAGCAACACTGTTCTCTCTGTGCGGGCCTCTGTATTCGGAGAAACAATGTCCCTGTGTTGCTCCAGGCACCCCAGAGCTGGGGGTGGGTGGGGGGGCGTCTTCCAGACTCGTGGGCCAGACTCAAGATGTCTCAGAAGGCCCTGGGGGTGGGGGTGGGGGTATCAGACCCGCGGACCGGCACCCCCATCGAAGCCCCTGCGTCTAACCCCACCCCACACGCGGATCCCCCTGCATCCCCTCCACCAGGTCAGGGCCCCAGCCCAGCCAGTGACAAACCACAGAGCTGTGTCTACGAGCGTCCCCTCAGATGGGGGGCACCGTCAGGGCCTCTGGAGGTGACCTGAGTTAGGGTGCAGGAGACCTGGGCTCCCCTTGGGCTGGGGAGGGTCAGTTGGTCAGGAGAAAATCCTAGGTCGTTTCCACAGTCTGACCCTGGGCTGTCCTGCCCGTCGGCTGGGGAGTTGGTGTGAGGGGCGTGCATTCGCGTCCTAGGAGTGACCTACCACACTGGATGTCTGGAAACCATAGAAACGAACGCTCCCCCAGATCCAAGGGCGGGAGTACAAAGTCAGGGTGTCGGCAGGGCCACGCTCCCTCCAGAGGCTCTGGAGACCACCTGTGCTGTGGAGTTTTCCCGGCTTCTGGCGGCCGGCAGACCTGGTGTCCCCATCTGTGGCTCCGTTTTCACAGGGTTGTCTGCTCTGTGTCTTTGTGTCCCTTCTCCTGGAAGGACACCTGTCACTGGATTCAGGGCCACTCTACTCCAGTAACAACCTCCTGTTAACTAATTACACCTGTAAGACATTTTCAAATATGGTCCTGTTCACAAGTACCAGGTGGCCGTGAATTTCACTCTTCAGTCCACAATGGGTCCTCCTTGCCTTCTTGCCAAACCCACCACCACCTCCAAGTCTGAGACCGGAGAGGAAACGGAGAGCTGTGTGTTTGATAAAGCCCGGGGTGGGTAGGGCAGAGAAGTGGGGGCCCGTGTCCTCATTGTGTCTCCCCCCCCCCCACGACCCCAGGGTGCAAGATCAAGGCTCTGCGTGCTAAGACAAATACGTACATCAAGACGCCGGTGCGCGGGGAGGAGCCGGTGTTTATCGTGACTGGCCGCAAGGAGGACGTGGAGATGGCCAAGCGTGAGATCCTGTCCGCCGCCGAGCACTTCTCCGTGATCCGCGCCACGCGCAGCAAGGCCGGCGGGCTGCCCGGTGCTGCGCAGGGTCCGCCCAACCTGCCGGGACAGACCACCATCCAGGTGCGCGTGCCCTACCGCGTGGTGGGGCTGGTGGTGGGGCCCAAGGGCGCCACCATCAAGCGCATCCAGCAGCGGACGCACACGTACATCGTGACGCCCGGGCGCGACAAGGAGCCCGTGTTCGCCGTGACGGGCATGCCCGAGAATGTGGACCGGGCGCGCGAGGAGATCGAGGCGCACATCACGCTGCGCACGGGCGCCTTCACCGACGCGGGCCCCGACAGTGACTTCCATGCCAACGGCACTGACGTCTGTCTGGACCTGCTCGGAACGGCCGCCGGCCTCTGGGCCAAGGCCCCCAACCCTGGGCGGCGGCCCCCCGCGCCCACAGCCGGCCTCCGCGCGGATGGGACCCTGGGGGGCCCTGGGGGGGGGGCACACATCTGTTTGGCCAGGTAGG